CTGTCCTCCATGTTTCTTCTTCGTGGTTCTCAGCCAGCATACGTTCCTCATGCTCTGGCTTTCAGACGATCGTACGCCATCAAGGTACCAACAGATCCGAACTCTGAGGGTCCTGCAGTCCGATGCTCTGTCTGTAAGGTAAACTCTCTGTTGTTTCAGAGACGCTCGCTGAGGGACAGAGTTCCTCTCCAGGACTCTGATGGGCGGTCCTCCTGTCCTACGGAGGTGGTGGGCATCCTGACTCAGCCGAAAGAGGCGTCCAGCCTGAGCGTGAAGGAGACCTTGTTCCAGAAGAAGCATGAGGACGAAGATGAAGACCTGGATGCCAAAATCACCCGACGGGTTCAGAGAGCTGCGAGAAGACAAGCCAAACAGGAACAGCTGAAGAGACTCCACAAGGCCCAGGTGAGTTTAACCTGTCCAAGTCTGCAGCTAACTTTACCTGAAGCCAGGGACAACCAGGTTCAGATCTAAATGAAGGACAGGTACAGTCTAGGTTCAGGTCCAGGGGAAGGACAGGGACAGTCCTTGTTCAGGTCCAGATAGAGGACAGGTATAGTCCAGGTTCAGGTCCATGTGGACGTGTTCTGATGTCTCGTGTGTCTCAGATGATCCAGAGGCAGCTGCAGCAGGTGGAGGAAAAACAGAGAGAACTGGAGGAGAGAGGAGTGATGGTGGAGAAAGCTCTGAGAGGAGAAGCAGGTACAAATACACTGAATATAAACAGGCTGCAGGAACACCTGAACTCCACCTGAGCACTCACCTGAGATTACCTGTGCTTGTACTTCCATCAGATTACTGGGAAGACTCCACCCACAGTCCAGACATGGAGCTTCACCTGGGAGGTCAGTTCACCTGTCTGTAGTGTCAGCTGCCCACTCTGTACTACACTTATACTGCACTCTACAGGTGTACTCCTCTGGTTACTGCAGTATCTTGTGTACTGTGTCGGCAGGTCTGGGTAAACTGGAGAACCCGCCTCTGATGCAGCAGTGGTTCCAGCTGGTCCAGCAGAAGAACTCTCTGGTTCGATACGAGTCTGAACTCATGATATTGTGAGTATTCTACCTGCAGATCAGAACCTTCTGCATCAGGTTCAGGTGAATCAGAACCTGGTGGGTCTCAGCAGGTTCTGGTTCATGTGGGCCATTTGGATCTGTTTGCGTTTCAGTGCTCGAGAGTTGGAGCTGGAGGACAGACAGAGTCGACTGCAGCAGGAGCTCAGAGAGAGAATGGCAGTGGACGGTAACGCACACACATCCTCCACCTGTGTGGCACCTGTTCACCTGTGTGTGTGTGTCACCTGTTCACCTGTGTGTGTGTGTGTGTGTGTGTGTGTGTGTGTGTGTGTGTGTCACCTGTTCACCTGTGTGTGTGTGTCACCTGTTCACCTGTGTGTGTGTGTCACCTGTTCACCTGTGTGTGTGTGTGTCCACCTGTTCACCTGTGTGTGTGTCCACCTGTGTGTGTGACACCTGTTCACCTGTGTGCAGACCACTTGAAGGGGGCGGGGCAGCTGGCTGAGGAGCGTCTGATCCTGGAGGAGATGCTGGAGGTGGTGGAGCACCGAGACTCTCTGGTGTCTCTGCTGGAGGAGCAGCGGCTGCAGGAGCGACAGGAGGACCAGTACCTGCAGCAGGTGATGAAGACAGCCGGAGGGCTGGGACTCACCTGGACCTGACACACCTGTCCCAGCCAGGTTCGTTCAGCTTAGGACGAGAAGTAAGGAAGGTCCTCACCACCTCACTGTAAGAAGCAAGGTGCTGCTAGAAATCTGAAGCATCATGTTCTGATGAGAAGCGCTGGTGTTGAAATCTCCACGATGTTCACAGTGAGAGAAAAACTCCAACACCTGTGAAGCTGAGTGTTTCTCTTCACATGTGTGATGTTATTCTACCAGGAACAAACTCAGGCTGATTCATAAACCACCACCAGATGGAGACAATCCACGGTTGTGCTTTATTTTGAAGGCAGTTCCTCACAAACGCTCAGACTGAAGAGATCTGGACCTCTGAGAGGGTTCTGGGTTTGATACGTCTCAGACAGTTTAACACAAATGTAGACAGGTGACTTGTGTAGGATGGTTTCAGAAGGTTTCAAGAAGCTTCACACAGTTTGAGATGGTTTCAGAAGCTTGTAGATGGTTCGTTTTGGATGTATTAAAAGGTTTCGGAAAGATTTAGATGGTTTGAGGGTTTAGGAGGTTTTAGATAGTTTTACTGAGTCACCTTTAGACAGTTTTAGTTGATTTGTTTCAGATGGTCACAAGAGGTTTAGATTGTTTTAAACGGTAACTAGAACTTTCAGATGGTTTTAGGACGTTTCAGGAGGTTTTAGGTGGTGTCACAGGATTTGTTTTGGAAGGTTTCTGATAGTTTTCAGGAAGCTTTCTGAGGCTTCAGGTATCAGGTGGTTTGTTTCGGAGGGTTTTGGATCTCGTCGGTCTCTGTGTTGTTCTTATTGTTCTTCCTCTTCAGCAGCTTTCTGTAATTCTTCCTGTTTCTTCATGCTAACAGATGGATGATGGTGAAACTCGACACAAACTTCTGATCAACAACCCGACTGAAGGCAGAAAGAGGAACCACGAGGCCTCCTGTCAGGATGAGCTGAAGTCTGCAGCCTCCCGTGTTGGTAACAGAATGTGAACGAGATGCTGCGATATGAGTTCTGGTTTTAGAAGAAATGGTCGTTTTTGCATTTTGTTTTGAAAAGAAATGCAACACTAAAAATGATTGATGCTGATGATGGAGAGGATCATTTAGAGGCCGGAGGTTCTCTGCAGCACCACGGTGCTTCCTCCATGTTCTAACACATTCATTACGAACCTGCAGCTCCTTCGGTTTGGTTTTTGCTCTGACTGCGATTTCAATAACATTTGTTCAATTAACTGCTCGGCCCTGATGTGAACTCACAAAGGAACTTATTCTGGGAGTTTCTGCTGCAGAAGAACATTCTCTGATTCACGTCTAACACTTGGTTCCCATCTAAATAACTTTTGTTCCACCAAAACTCTCTCCAGCATTCTTTCTGCTCTGAAACACATTTTCAATGGTTTTTGTTGGGAGGGCGGCTAATAGCTAGCAGGAAACGTTCCCACAACATTACAGTTCTAACAATGTTTGAAACTTATGTTCACAGAACGTTTTAGGGATGTTCGTTCACGGTCCTGTGAGGTTGAGCCTGAACTAAGACAGAAACTTTTAGCCTCGACGATCAAAAGATGTTTGAAGAGCTACAGATTATGTTCTATGGTTACAAAGAAAGAAGGTTCTCAAAGAAACATTCAGAAAATGTTTTCCAGATGTTATCAATGCACCTGATGGTTTTTTTTTTAATTAAAAAAGTTTCCATAATGTGACATATTAACAACTGTGGAACATTCTGTCGGCAATGTTCTGGTGATGTTGTTGAGGAACACATTATAGAACGTTCTTTGTGGAACCTTGTGTGAATGTTTTCAATGTCACACGTACCAAAGCAGGAATGTTCTCAAAACAACCATCTGGAAATGTTTTCCAGAGGTTATCAACGCCTCAGTGTTTTTCATGCAGAACATTCTAGAACCTTTCAGTTGTGACACATTGAAGGTAGAACCTTTCGTTGTGGAACGTTCTTCTGGTAAACATTTGCCAAATGACAACAAAGGAAGAAGGTTCCCAATGCAACATTCAGAAAACGTTTTCAAGATGTTATCAAGACCTCAGATGAGAGAATGTTCTTCGTCAGACGGTCCTGTAACGGTGAAACGTTCTGTCTACACTGTTCTGAAGATGTTTTTGGGATGTTGCTGAGAGAACACGTTATAGAACGTTCTTCTATAAAACATTCCTAAAACGTTCTGTGTCTTAACAGAGGAAGAATCTTCTTATACCAACATTCAAAAAACGTTTTCCTGATGTCATCAGCTCTTTAGAGGACATGACATTGTTGAGAGAACCCAATTTTAGAACATTATTCTACAGCACAGTGTCATAAAGTTCCATGATAACGAAGGAAGAACTTTGCCAAACAACATTCAGAAAACATTCTCCAGATGTTATCAAGGCTTCAGGTGCTTTATTTTGTTTTTAATAAAACATTCTTGTGAAGTCATATCAACAGAGGTAGAACGTTCTGCGTATCGTTCTTCAAAAACCTTCACACAATGTTCCACGATGTCACATGACAACAAGGGACGAACGCTCTCTTGACTGGGAACACTGGGTTTGGAGGTGTGGTTCTGCCAGGGAGAGCTTTGGAACCACTGGGTCCAACGATACCAGCGCTCAGTTGTAAAGAACCAATAACAAAACACCACCTGTTGTGTTATGACGGCCGAGGCCTGATGTTCTCACGCTCTGGTGTTGTGTATATTGCTCTAATCAACTTCACACAATCCTCCGTCCGCTAAACTCGACTACCGTTCCTTTAATGTTCCTGACAGCGTTCTGCTGATGTTCTCTGAACCTTTTGTACCGCCGTTCTCACCTCCTACCTGCTCATGCCTTCAAGGTCTCTGACCAAACACTCACTCAATAAAGAGATTTTTTTCACAGACGTGTGGACGCTTCTTTTCTTCACATCCAGGATTCAGTGTTTAAACTTTTATTTTGAAAGGCTTACTCAGCTTCACTCATTCAGTGTCTAATTAAGGTTTCAGTGACGAACTCGTGCGTTAATGAAGACATTCAGACATTCAGAGTTCAGCTCCGAGTTTATTTCTTTAAAAAATCTGTTTGATGCCAACAGAAGGAGAAAAAACAGCAAAAAGACGAAACTTTAATCAGCCCAGAAACAAGAACTGCAGCCAGTTAGCAGCGATTAATACTGATGGTCCCCAGTACTGGTTGGACTGGTGATAGACTGGTTACAGGGTGTTCACAGACTGGTTAGACTGGCTACAGACTAGTTTCTGGCTGCTTACAGGCTTGTCTCATGCTGGTCTCATACTGGTTCCAGACTGGTCTCAAACTGGTTTCTGACTGGCTCCAGACCTGCTACAGACTGGCGGTGTTGCTGGCGTCTATCTTCAGGTCTTTGGCGACCAGTCCGGCGGTGACCGGGTGCATCGCCGCTCGATGAGCCAGAAACACTTTGACGGCTTCGTTACGATACTTTTCAAAGTTGAAAACTTCCCTGAAAAACAGCAGAAACAGCAGAAACATGCAGGAGCAGCCGAGTGAAGGAAATGAAGCGGAGATAGACGGACGTGTACGTACTTGAGGAGCGGTCGCGTGAACTTCATCCTGCCCTGCTCGGTCGCCATCTTCAGCGCCAGGGGAACCGCTTCCTCCCACTTGGACCGGACGCACAGCCTCAGCCACCTGGAGGGAGGACACCCAATCAGCAAGAGGCGAAGGAGGGGAGGGGCGGGGCTTAAAAGCACAAAGGACTCTCACCTGAAGCGGATCTCGGCGTTCATGCAGGCGTTGAGGTCGTAAACCTCCTGCATCTTCTTCACGTGAGTCAGAGGGAGCGCTCCCTGAAGGAACC